AGATCCAGGAAGGCCTCCTGTCAGAGATGGCACTTGAGCTATGGTTTGAAGGAAACTGGGTACTCAAGAGGGAATACAAGCCAGACGAGGGGCCCATTTAAACAAAGGCATGGAGGCTGGCTCTAGAATGTCACAAAATAGCAAACAGCAGGTCAGTTTGGCTGGAAGAAAGAGTGTATGAAGGGGAGTAATAAAGAAACTGGACTAGAAGGTAGGTGGGAGCCCCTGTGAAGGGGCTCTTTCAATGCCAGGTTCTAACTGGCTTTAAATGCCAGTTTATATTTTGTCCTAAGAGCAACAGGAAGCCACGGCCGATTTTACTCCTATCAGCTTGGCAGTGAGATCCTTGAAGGCAAAGGTCATTTCATTTCTGTCTGAATCCTCTAGACTAGGCTAACACCATTCCGTGCACACAGGCAGTGCTTAATAAGTGCTTATTAAATGGAAAAAATAAGACCTCCTGCTGGGCTGACCAGCCTCCTCGTACCCACCACTCTCTGGGTCTCCAAGCCCACTTCTATCCGTACTACTGTTTAATTCCCATCTCTCCACCTTGTGCATGCAGATTTGGAAAGAGACTTTTTCAGGCCTTTGCTGAAATCTAAGCGTACCAGACCTAAATTTCCCTCATCTACCAGCTAAGTCAGCCTGCTTTTAAGGAGCCCATCATCGTGATATGACATCTTTCAGTAGCGCCAGGACCACCACTTCCTTACACTCACCAAAGCACCCCTTCAACAACGGTCTAGAATCTTGCCAGGAATTGACGGCACAATTTGTCATCTTGTCACAGAAAGGAACCACCTTCTTTCCCTTTTCGAAACGTAAGGCATTTCCCTAGCTCCAGTGTGCGAACTCCTTTGCCATCATCCTTGATCCGTCCGAGAGCACCAGGGCTCGCCTCCCTCCCAGGAGCCCCTTTTCTCACGTGCGCCCAGGGAGTAGGAGCATAACCACAGCCACTTTCCTTTGCTTGCTCTTTGACCATTTCTTCACTTAGTCTGCTAACTCTCTCTCAATTCCCCGATAAACATTTCTGTCCCCTCCTTTCTGATCTTTCTCCTCGGTGGAGAAAACAGAGGTAAAGTACTGAACGGCACCTCAATGCCTGTGTCCTTCAGTTACTGTCTCATTCGCTGCAAGCATGGTTCTCTTTCTCGTTCCTCTTCTTGTCACCCACAAAGTGCCCAAAATAAGAAAATAAATGAATATGCCCCATGCCACCCCCCCCCCCGCCATTGTTGCCTTGAGCTCCTCTCCTAAACCTCGGCTCAGGGCTCTGGGCTGGCTCATGCCCTTCTCTTGTCTTCTTCTTTAGTCACCTCTCTTTGCTCTCATCTTCCAGACTAGTCTCCTCACAATCTCAGCTTCATCACTTCCTTCTGTGGCCACAGTTTCTTGAAATACCTCCTCCCTTTTCTTCCTCAACACAATCATTTAGAGCATTAGAATTTTGTTCCTAAGAAGCTTCCATTACTCTTGAACAGAGTTCCCTTGTAGAATCTCAGGCTGTGGAATCCTGCCTATGCTTCAGCTGAACTCTGAGAGCCATTCTCCCTCAATGGAGAGCAGCCACGCTGCCCAATACTTCCTTAGTCAACTTCATCAGGGCATTTACCAGTCACTTCCTAAGCTCCCTGTAAATATAAAATCTGTTTTCTAATACATGGCATCTTTTGTGCAGAACAAACCACCCCCACTAAGATCTCTAAAGTAGATCACTTGACTACGAGATCATGTTGTAAGAATCTGCAAGGAAAAATCCCATTCAAAAAAATGGATGCTTTCCTTGCTTAAGGAAAGACAATCATTGTTCATCTGTGTCTATTTCTTTACCAGTCAATTCACCTCTGGCACCAGAAAAATAGGCACTCGAAAGTTTGGTATTCACAAATTCTACTGCAAAGACAACCCATCTAGGTAAGGAACATTTGCCACAATCCACAGCGATAATAAAATTCAGCCAAGAGACCACCAAATTATTCTCTAATTATTATGATCCCTACTTCTCCCAAGAGCTAGAGACAAGTCAAAATTTGCTTTGCCAAGCAGAGTCTGTGCTCTTTAGACACAGCTGTAGTAGTTCATAAACAGCAGAAGTAATAATAGCTGATATTTACACAGGACTTTCAAGACACTATATTTACAGTATCTCATTTGGCCCTTACAACAACCTTGTTGTAATGCTACAGGTATTATTTGCTCATTTTACAGAGGGAAAAACTGAGGCTCAGAGAGTTTAGGAGTCTTCCCTGGGGTCACAGTAGAACTAAGAAGTATCACAGGAAGGATATGGCCCTGGATCTCTTGTGATTCCAGGTCCAGCTCTCTCTCTTTCCACCACACTGCCCCTCCCAACCTGGTACCAAGTTCTTAGAAAGTGTATTTTTATTCTTACTAGCAAATTTTCAACAGTAAAAAAGAAAGGCAGGTAAAAGAAGATTTCAAAACACTATAAAAAAGGCTATGGGTCAGTTATCTAGTTGTGACACTGAAGAGAAAGAGAATAGGACTAACCCATCTAGAGAGATTCCTTTACAAATGAAGATGTTAATATTTGCTATAGAAATAGGCACTTGATTCCTGAAATGATTTTTTTCAGGATAACAGAAAAACGTTGATGAACATAATAATTATAGCCCCCATATTACATGGTGATCCTCTGACTACAACACGAATAGTATATAATTATAAAGGATGAATCTTGGTCTGCCGAAAGAAATGAGAAAACACACCTGCCTCCCTTGCACACTAATCTCTCGCTTCTGAGGAACAAGGGGTCTAGAACACTGTCAGAGTCAGCTGATGGGTTGGTTAATCTCACTGACTTGCCTTTTGATCTTTTCTTTTTTTATTCTTTGTTATGATGGATAGTTCAGTGGATAGGGAAATGGGAGGGGGGGTGCATTTGGGAAGGGAAGTAATACAAAAAATGTCAATAGAATGAAAACCTTTTTTTTAGAAGAGCCGTATCACAGTGATCACACAAAAACTTTACCCTCACTGGTCAAATTGAGGGAACCTGTCATACCTACTTCCTTCCTTTCATATTCCATAATCAGTAGCCACACAAAATAAGGAATTCTATACTTTGATCAACTTTAAAAATCACAGATTGGTCAAAGGATGCCCATAGTTTATTTACAAAGACTTCTCTTTTTAAGTCAGTGAAGGATAGAAGAAAAAAGTCTCTAACTTTTATCCCCAAAGTTTACACTCCTCCTCCTGCCTCAAGCTTGTTCACAGGCCATTCCCCAAAGCCTTCTTGCCCCTGGATACTTCACTGTTCTTTCCCCCAAGCCTTCCCTCCAGGAGGACTCTCTACTAAGAGGCCTTTCTTGACTCCCCCTAATTGTTAACGAGCTCAATTCCTCCTCAATTCATTTGGTATTGACTTATTTGTACATGTTGTACCCCCTGAAGGCAAGGACTGCTTTTCATTTTGGTCCTTGCATCCTGGGTCTAGCACTGTAGTTCACACGCAGTAGGCACTTAAAAAAATGTTTCTGAAGTCTAAATTTGATCTGGAGTCCACAAGGCTCTAAACCCTGGATACTACATTTGTATTGGGCTAACAATACCACTCTACTTGGAAATAAATGTCTAACAACCAATACAAGTTTCTTGACTAACGCTGATTTTGTAGGAGATACAATTTCTGCGGACAGAGCTCAACGCTGGATAGAACGTATCCTTAGCTTCACTAAAAAGATCTGTGGCATCTATTTATTCAGATAGGTCAATTTCCAACAGCAAAAGTCACATAGCATGGATCATCTATAAAGTCGTCTTAATTTAATAGTTTTGCCTTTCAAGAACAGATGATAAAGAGTAATGTATGAACTGCTGTAGAGTATGAACTGCTGGCAGGACCAGCAGAACACTTTCCACACTAACAACACTGTAAAGACAACTTTGAAAGACTTCAGAACTCTGATCGACTCAATAACAAGCCACAATTCCAGAGGACTGTTATCTCTCAGTGCAGAGATGATGGACTCAGAGCGCAGAATGAGACCTATGGTTTTTGGACACGATCAATTTGGAAACATGTTTTGCTTGACTATAAATATCTGTCACAAGGGTTGTTTCTCTTTTTCCCAATGGGAGTGGGTGTGGGAGAAGGAAGAACCCAGGACTAAAAAAATAGTCTTTTGTTAATTGAAAAAAATTTGTTAAAAATAATTCAAGGTACCTTCTATCCAGCAGTAAAGTTGTAAGTTGCTTGTAGATAACATTTTCCTGTCTATCACAGAGAAAGACTGCATACGATTTAGGGATGTTCCTTCCTAAATGTTGCTGGAACAACACATTAACAATCCCAAACAAGTGCTAGAGGAAGAGACGTAAATATAGCAGCACAGAGAGTCCTCCCACTAAAACTAAGACTCTCACCACAGCAAAGCTGCATCTTTCCCTGGAAGATGAATGGTCAGCTTCTGGACAGCGGGGTCCGTGTGTGTTCTAACTATCTCTGTCTCTTCAGGGCCTGGCACAGAATATTGACTAGAGAAGGTTCTAGATAAATGCCTTTTAAATTGACTTGTACTTACCAAAATGTTCAAACAGTAGTTTTCCTGCGTGTCTTAACATTATTAATAACTACACAGGAGACAACTTTTAAGAGGTCACAGAATGGATACAGAAGTAACTAAGCTGCCCCATTCTCTCAAGCAAAAGCAGAGCTCTTAAATTTGCACGTAAGACATTTAGCTACAATCTTTATAGCTGTTCTGGTGCTGTATCTACAATCTATCCAAAGTCTAGCTATTTATAATGATTTTCCTAAGAAAAAAGCCGTGTTCTATTTGACACAGGACTCTTCTTGTCAGAAAGAGGGACTCGTCAAGCCCTGACTGTTCAGTCCTCAGACCAAAGAGCCTTAATATACCTTTCTTCCCCACAGAGAAGCCACCTAAGAGTCTGGACCTGCTGTCCAGTCACTGAGCTTGGAAACAAAGAGGGGCTATTTTGCTGTAGTAGAGAAGGAGAGCACTGACCAGTCTCTGGCTATAACGGATTCTTTCTTCCTCGGGTTCCATCTCTCAGAGCTCTTCTGTTGAGACGACCGTCAAGAAAACCTCTCCTGAGCTGTCTTCTTTCTCCTCAGGAAGCAGAAGGCAACACTAAAGAAGGACAACAATATAAGCCCGGATCAGAATTCATCCTCACACTTGTCCTTTTCTCAGACCCTGCGGGGACACCAGGTAACCTAGACACATCATAAGCCCCAAAAACCCCACCAAGAGAGCTGGCTCTTTCCCCACAGACAGTGGACTCCTGCGCTTTTACCCAAGGGGTTCCAGGCAATGAGTGCAATTAGTTGTAACACTAAAGTTGTCTGTGGCCTGGGCAAGCGAGTAGGTTTCACTTCCTTCTGTAGAGGGAACAGCCCTTGCCTGTCCCCACAGGGCAATCCAAATGTGCAAGGCTCTTCCCTTGATGTCAGCATCAGCACAAAATCCCAGGGCTGAATGAGACTTTCCACTCCCCTTTCATCTCCGGAGGTCTCCACGGGTGAAGGGTACACTGACCTAATCCTTATTCGGCTAGTGGTTTTAACCGGTTCCTTCTAAGGAGAGCCTAAAAAGACACCAACATACACACACTAACTTCACATCCAAAGATTGAGAAGTTGGGGTGGTGGTGGTGATGGTGTTGTGGTCCTTCTACTGGAGGGAGACGGGTTCTCCCGAGCACCTCCAGTAACTCAATACCTGCTCACCCTTCCTAAATCATCTTTCCCCTCACAGTACGACGACACCCTAAAAGTGAGAACTCTCCAACAGAGAAAGAGGACGCGAAGTGGAGACAGATTTCATCAGACCCTACGAGAGAGATAGATGCTACCAAAATCAACCATGACGACTCCGTCTGCGGAGAGCACAGTCGAACGAACCATTCACAAGAAGCAGACGAACTAAGTGAGACAGACCCTGGCTACACGAGTCGGTTCGGCAGAACAAGCAGTGTGTAAATGAAATACACTTGTGGATCGTAACATGGCTTCCGCAGGTGGTAACAGGGTTTCTTTGCTTTCTTCTTCTTCTTCTTCTTCTTCTTCTCCTTCTCCTCCTCGTCCTCCTTCTTCTCCTCCTCGTCCTCCTTCTTCTTCTCCTCCTCCTCCTCCTCCTCCTCCTCCTCCTCCTCGCCCCCCAACGCCCGGCTGAGCCCGGCAGCGGGACCCTGGTGCCCCGGATCGGCACGGCCGCGTCGTCCCCGCCGAGCGCCCCGTCCCGTCCCGTCCCGTCCCGTCTCCCGGAGGCGAGAGCCGGGGCAGCGTCTGAAGGACTCGGCTTTGGAGGAGGCCGGGCCGGAGACGAGCAGCCACCGCCGCCAGCCGCGCTCCTCGGGGCTCCTGCGGGAGAAGCGAGCCGAGGATTCCCGGTGGGAAAGAGAAAATGCAAAGTTTGCACGGGGGGCCGGC